CAGGGAGGCAAGTGGTTTTCTGTGGGTGTTTCTTCCTTTTAACCAACTGCACCACATGCTTCTCATTTCAAAGCAGATTTTTTTTCTCTGCCACTTTCACAGTTTTATGTCTTTACACTTCTAGGAGTCCCTTAGTTGAAATTCCATGAAAAGGGTGTGAAGTGTGGATTTAGACCTTGCTTCGATTCTGTTAGGAGGTTGAGTGCTTGTGCAGGCTGGGAGAGCATACACTTCTTTTCAGGAGGCAGGTAAAGGGAGCAGGTGGGATGAGGCAGAAGACTGGTCAGAAAGAACACTTTTCTCCCCATGAGGCTTTCAGTTAGACAGAAGTAGTAAGGATGATTGTGAAGTTCTTGTGAGAAGAGAGAACACTGTTCCTTTGAAATTAAAACTCAATTTTTCCTGATTTTTCATGTTGGCTAAAACAGGCCAGGAAACGGGCTTTTCCTGATTTCTTTTTTCCTGTCGTACAAAAACATAATGATTAAATTTGGAAAAGTACTTTGCGGTTTTCAAGGGACTTTGTTATTCACAGTAACTGCAAAGATCCCCCTGTTTTAGATGAGAAGGGAAACTGAGGTATGGAGAAGGAAAGGAACAGGCGAGAAGTAACAAAGATGAGTCAAGTATTGGTAATTTCTTTTCTCTGGGAGTTCTAACAATCTAACAGGCTTGTACTTTAAGACGTTTCTAGATAGCAGATTCTCACACCTAACTCACTGTATCTTCCAAACTTGTCTAACTATAAGAATCAGCTGGTGTGCTTGTTCATATACAGATTCTTAGGCCCATCCTCTAGTTATTCTGATTTCAGTTGATCTGGGGTGATCTAGGAGTCTGCTTTTTTTAACAAGGTCATGTGGGGATTCTTATCTCTTGGCATGTTTGGGAAATTTTACATAGCCGGCAGCTGAAAGTGCAGATGGAAATAAGTTGTCCAAGGTCATACAATCTGAACTCCCTGATCCCCACCTGGTGTCTCTGGTCCCTGAGTCCACATCCCCCTACCACCCACTACTCCACAGCTGCCTTCCCAGGGACACAGAGTTTGTGGTCAGTACTGGATAATTCTGCCACGTCTTTATTCTCATGTCTTCATCACCTACTACATATGAAGCTGTCCAGAAACGAGGGATTTTGAGGGTGAGTGAGAGAATGAAGAAGACAGACACAGGCATAAGAGACAAAAAAAACCTCAGTGTTATTAAAAATGCAAGTAGGGGTGCACACCTGTAGCCCTAGTTACTAGGGAGGCTGAGACAGGAGGATTGCTTGAGCCCAAGAGTTCAAGGCCAGTCTGGGCAACATGGTGAGCCCACGCCAAAAAAGAGAAAAAACCACTACAACCGTAGAGGCGCAGTGAATTCTAAATCTAATTGCCATATTAAGAGGCATTCATTCTCCATTCCCTTCATAAAACCTACTTATTAGTGCCAGTCACACTAAATATTCATAACCAATAGGCTATGCACTAGTACAAAAGTCTCGAAAGTGGAGAGTAGCCGAGCACAGTGGCTCACACCTGTAACCCCAACACGTTGGGAGGCCAATTCAGGAGCATTGCTTGAGCCCAGGAGTTTGAGATCAGCCTGGGCAACATGGTGACACCATGTCTCTAAAAAAATTTTAAAAATTAGCCAGGCATGGTAGCACATGCCTATAGTTCCAGCTATGAAGGGAGGCTGAGGTGGGAGGATCACTTGAGCCTGGGAGTTCAAGGCTGCAGTGAGCTATGATCATGCCACTGCACTCCAGCCTGGGCGACAGAGCCAGACTTTTTTTTTTTTTTTTTTAAAGAAAAGGCTGGGCACAGTGGCTCACGCCTGTAATCCCAGCACTTTGGGAGGCCTTGGTGGGCAGATCAGCAGGCAGTTCGAGGCCAGTCTGGCCAGCATGGAGAAACCCCGTCTCTACTAAAAATACAAAAATTAGCTGGGCGTGGTGACGCATGCCTGTAATCCCAGCTACTCAGGAGGCTGAGGCGGGAGAATCACTTGAACCGGGGAGGTGGAGGTTGCAGTGCGCCGAGATCGCGCCATTGCACTCCAGCCTGGGCAACAAGAGCAAAACTCTGTCTCAAAAAAAAAAATGAAGAGTATTCAGTAAGATCTCTAGGATACAAGGAAAAAAAATACTTTTTATCTCACCGTTTTAAAATTTCTATTTGGTAATATACCTGGCACATTACATATATGCAAATATATATGTATATAAATACATATACATACTACCTGTGTACACACATACATATTCTCAGCTAAACAACAAACACATATGGACCACATACGAAAAACTTTTTTATAGGAGTGGTGTACATTTCAGAAAGTTTGCAGCCACCTCTCAGTCCTACCTGCCTGCCTTTTGCAATTGATTTGCATGCTACCTAAAGTCGCTTCCCAACCTGTTTATGTCTGTAATACTTGTAATCATTTATTATAATTTAATTAAATTTTATATAAGCTGATGGAATGTTGTTTTAATAAAAGAATAGTCTCTGCAGAAACTTACGTTGCAAAGGCTTATTTGCAGTGCAGATTGGACAGAGTGTTTTTTTTTAGTTGCTGTCAAATTTAGGCTAGGTAAGATACCTGTGCACAGTTGAATGCCATAATTGTAAAAATCTAGGATTCTGCTTTAGTTTGGCTTGCAAAAATCTGGTATAATAAACTCCCATGTACCCTTATCCAGTTTCAGGGATTATCAGCTCACAGCCAATTTTGTTTCCTCTCTTCCCCAACTGAGGTAATTTCAAAACAAATCCCAGATATCCTATGTTTTATTTATAAGTATTTCATTGTATATCTTTTTTTAAAAGGGACCTTTTTAAAAAGCATAGCCAAAATAATATCATAACTGAAACATTCAGTCACTTGTGAATATATCAAATATCTCTGATCAGAGTTAGATTTCCCCAATTCAGACATTTCTCTTAGCCTTTCAGTCCAATATAGATCTTTCAGCCAACTGGTGGCGAGGTGATGGATTAGTGACCATGGGGAGGGTGCAGTTGAACTTGAGCATGGGGAGAATGAACTGGGGGTGGGAGAAGGAAGGAGCTCCATCTCCAGGAAAGAGGCTCTTGTTGCCTCCAAGGGTCACCGTCCTCCCTGTGTGCACAGCTCAGAGCTTGAACGTGTTTCAGCCAGAAAGAACCTCACCCAGAGGGGCTGCATCCATTCTGCTTCCCCGCAGGATGTGTCTCGTGGCCTGTGATTTAGACCGCTGGGTACTTTGACGTCTGGGCCCGCAGTGTGAGGACTTCCAGCCCCTAAAGGTGTTCTTCATTATCCAAACCCATCCCTTCCCTGGGCCTTGACCACAGTGGTGAACTCAGCAGAATTCCCTCAAAAGGAACGCTGTGTTTTGAGTGGCTCATGGGAACCCAGGGTTGGGGTTCCAAAGGTAGCTGAGCAGTGACAGGAGAGTGCTCAGGAGAGGCCCTGCCTGAACAGGGGAGCCAGGGGAGGAGCATGCACAGCAGGACCGGGTTCTGCTGTGGCCGCTACAGCGCGATAAGGCAAGCAGGGCAGCCCATACTGACACTTCTTCCTTTCAGTGCTTCCTGAAAGTGAGTGCAGCTGCTTCGTGGCTGACTTCGTTATCTGTTTATTTCCAGGGAAGACTCTCTCTCAAAAAAGTTTTCACTGAGGTGCCTGCAGTGTGGACACAAGCAAGTGGCTTTGCCTGGCTGAAACAGTGATAAAAGGAGCTAGCTACCTTAGAGGGGGTGAGGGTCAGCTACGCTTGCACACGTAAATACATGGAATGATGCTTGGTATACAGCGTTGTCTAACAGAATATCCTGTCATCGTGCAAACATATTGTGTCTGTGCTTCGCGATGCAGTTGAGCCCTTAAAAGAAGGCTGAAGTGACTGAGGAAACTAATTTAAATTTGAACAGCCACATATGGCTTTGGTGGCTACTACATTCCGTGCAAGTCTAGGGGATGTTGATAATACCATAACGATGGTATTTTGTTCTTATCCACCCATCTGCACACTGATGTAAAACTTTTAATATGGTTCTCAGTGAAGACCTAGAAGACAATACTGGTATGAAAAGCAGAGACAATATTATAAAGTGGTGTTTGCTATGCATCTGTGTGGCCCGGAACATTTAGGATGTCAAAGATCATCTCTGAAATGAAGAGTCAGATTTTGAAGTGGACTGCATCTGTGGGAGTCTTTCAAGGAAGGAGAGGCAGCCTTGTGATAGGCATGGGTGGGAGCAGGAACTCAGGCTGACATTTCATGTGTGCTTCTTACTGGCTATGTGGCATGAGTCACATTGCTTCGTATTTTTGATCACCAGTGTTCATCTGGAAGATGAGAGTCATGATACGCACCTGCCTGCTGGGGTTGTCATATGTGCTGTGCTGTCAGGGTGCCTAAGCTCCGTCCGTGAGGACCGTGGTTATCATTCAGATAATGATGATGCTAATACCACAACTTAATGTACAATCACTGTCACTTCTAATTAGATTGGAAAGTTTAATAATTTTTATCCCTGTCAGATGCCAGGGATGCCAATTGATTGCTCTAGCTACTACTTAAATGTATATGCTCTTTTGACTTTTAAACATTTACTCTCTAGACTTTTAAGCATTAGAATCCAGTGAACTGAGGGAGAGAGAAACCTCTGACATGATCCCTAAATGCCTGATCGAGGTGAGAGCGAGCAGGTCTGCCACGGTGACTTCAGGTTCCCAGCTGTCTTCTTCTTGTGCCCAGACTGTGGGTGTTCAAGTCGTATGTACATCTTGTGCTGCCTGCAAAGATTTGGTATCCAGAAGTTGATAGAAATACAATGTTTTTTAAAGGAAGAGGTTTTTGGTGCTAACCATGCAGCCTGGCTTCTTGACATCATATCATTTTTATTTTACTCAATTGAAATGAGTCAACAAAAACATAAGGCTGGAAGAGTAGAAACTCTGACTTAACTGCTTCTTCATATGTTCTCCCTTTCTGCCTCCTCATATGTTCTCCGTTTCCTCTCCTAGATGTGATATTTGCTGTGTCACCTTTCGAACACATCGAGGACTGCTGCGTCACAACGCGCTTGTCCACAAACAACTTCCCAGGGATGCAATGGGCAGGCCTTTCATACAGAACAACCCTTCGATTCCCGCTGGCTTCCACGACTTAGGATTCACGGACTTCTCCTGTAGGAAGTTTCCTCGCATTTCTCAGGTATTCTGATCAGCCCATGGAAGCAACCAGCAACTGCCTTCCATGGTCCACGCAGTTAGACGAAACTTCCTCTCCCTGAGGTTTCTTTCCTTAAAATGTCGGTTGGGCTTTGTCTTTTTTATAACACCTTTTTTCTTAAAATTATCGTTGGCCCTTTCAGTCTTCCTTGGGTTGTTGGGTTGAGAAGGGCGCATAGTCTTGTTTGGGGTTGAATATCCTAAGAACTTGTGCATCAGTCTAGCTGTTCTGTGCCTTTTGCCCATTCTTGGGTCTTTGAGGTTTAAGATGTCAACCCTTGTAGGCCAGGCCCCAGTGACTCACACCTGTAATGCCAGCACTTTGTGAGGCCAAGGCAGGAGGATCGTTTGAGGTCAGGAGTTTGAGACCTGCCTGGACAGCATAGCAAGACTTTATCTCTACAAAAAATTTAAAAATTAGCCAGGCATGGTGGTGTGCACCTAGTAGTCCCAGCTACTTGGGAGGCTGAGGTGGGAGGATACTTGAGCCCAGCAGGTTGAGGCTGCATTGAGCCATGATCGCGCCACTGCCCTCCAGCCTGGGTGGCAGAGAGAGATTGTCTCAAAAATAAAATTTTAGGGCCGGGCACGGTGGCTCATGCCTGTAATCCCAGCACTTTGGGAGGCCACGGTGGTCAGATCACAAGGTTAGGAGTTCAAGACCAGCCTGACCAACATGGTGAAACCTCGTCTGTACTAAAAATACAAAAATTAGCCAGATGTGGTGGCACGCTCCTGTAATCCCAGCTACTCGGGAGGCTGAGGCAGGAGAATCACTTGAACCCAGGAGGCTGAGGTTGTAATGAGCCGAGATTGTACCATTGCACTCCAGCCTGGGCAACAGAGCAAGACTCCATCTCAAAAAAAAAAAAAAAAAAATTTTTTTTTTAATAAAATAAAAGTTGTGAATTGTAAAACACCCCAGCCCTATAATAATTGGAATTTGTGGGCTTTTAAAAAAATCTTTACTATCTGCGTTGCAGCTAAATATTCTAAATATTGTGGTTTCTATTAAAAACAGTTTGGGTCATTATTGACCTGAATAAGAAAAGAGCCATATATATTCCCGCTAATAAAGCACCTGCTAAAACTACTTTGAAATCGGCTGGGCACAATGGCTCGTGCCTATAACCCCAGCACTTTGGGAGGCCAAGGCGGGTAGAGCACTTGAGGCCAGGAGTTTAAGACCGGCCTGGCCAACACAGTGAAACCCCGTCTCTACTAAAAATATAAAAAATTAGCTGGGCATGGTGGCACATGCCTATAATCCCAGCTGCTGGGGAGGCTTAGGCATGACAATCTCTTAAACCTGAGAGGTGGAAGTTGCAGTGAACTGAGATCATGCCTGGGTGACACAGTGAGACTCAGTCTCAAAAATAAATAAATAAAACTAAAACTATTTGAAATTATTTTTTCCCCCATTTAAAGAAGTTCAGATAGAAGGCATCAACAGTGTTGTTCTTCAAGTGTATAAGGTACAAACTCAATGGATTGTTCCATATGCACACCACCCATGTTAACCCCCCAGGTGACATTCCTCATAGCCCCTCCTAGGCAGTGTCCCCCTTCCACAATCATAGAGGGGTAGGGTAGCTGATTCTCCCAACATCTCCCACCCTCAGTTTTGCAAGGCACCTATTTTTTAAAAGAATTAATTCTACCCTTGTGGTATTGTTACTTAACTATGCTTCAGAATCTCTCATGAGATATCTTGTGGGGTTGATATCATTTATCATGCAAACATGATTCTTAAGATGCTTTGTGGATTTCCTTATTCAGTCTAGTGTGTTAGCAAGCAGGAGAAGGTCAACTTTTTTTTTTTTTAAGGCAGAGTCTTGTTCTGTTGCCCAGGTTACAGTGCAGTGTGGCATAGTCATGTCTCACTGCAGACTCAACCTCCTTAGGCTCAGGTGCTTTTCCTGCCTCAGCTTCCCAATAGCTAGGACACAGGCATGTACCACCATATCTGGCTAATTTTCTTGCTTTTTATAGAGACGAGGTCTTGCTATGTTACAGCCCAGGCTAGTCACAAACTCCTGGCCTCAAGCGATCCTCCCACTTCGGTCTCTGGAGTAGCTGGGACTAGAGGCATGAGCCAACACACCTGGCAAATTTTTTTTTTTCTTTTTTTGTAGAGATATGGGATCTTGCTATGTTGCCCAGACTGGGAACTCTTTTTATATTATGGGGGAAGATTGTGGGATAAATGTACAACAAATACTTTGTGCATCTCCGTTTAGTGATTATTTTTTCAATCTTCATGTGTGTTCCCTTGCTTTTACCGGTGGGTTCTACATAGGCCTGGTGCGAAACAAACCTGCGGAGGTGCATCAGCGAGCAGCACCGTTTTGTCTGCGACACCTGTGACAAGGCGTTCCCCATGCTCTGCTCACTGGCCCTGCACAAGCAGACCCACATGGCGGCAGACCAGGGTCAAGAAAAGCTGCAGGCCACGCCCCTGCCTGCTGACGCCCTGGACCAGAAGGGCTTCCTGGCCTTGCTTGGCCTGCAGCACACCAAAGACGTCAGGCCTGTCCCCGCCGAGGAGCCCCTGCCGGATGACAACCAGGCAATTCAGCTCCAGACACTCAAGTGTCAGCTACCTCAGGACCCCGGCTGCACCAACCTGCTGAGCCTGTCTCCTTTCGAAGCTGCTTCGCTAGGCGGTTCTCTCACAGTTCTCCCCGCGACCAAGGACAGCATAAAGCACCTGTCCCTGCAGCCCTTCCAGAAGGGCTTCATCATCCAGCCTGACAGCAGCATTGTGGTCAAGCCCATCTCTGGCGAGTCGGCCATTGAGCTGGCAGACATCCAGCAGATTCTGAAGATGGCGGCCTCGGCTCCCCCTCAGATCAGTCTTCCGCCCTTCTCCAAGGCCCCCGCCGCCCCACTGCAGGCGATCTTCAAGCACATGCCCCCTCTGAAGCCAAAGCCCCTGGTCACACCACGGACGGTGGTGGCCACCTCCACGCCCCCGCCTCTCATCAACGCCCAGCAGGCTTCCCCAGGCTGTATCAGCCCCAGCCTGCCGCTGCCGCCCCTGAAGCTCCTCAAAGGCTCAGTGGAGGCGCCCTCCAACGCCCACCTGCTGCAGCCCAAGTCCGGGACCCAGCCCAGCGCGGCCACGCGGCTCTCCCTGCAGCAGCCGCGGGCGGAGCTACCGGGCCAGCCCGAGATGAAGACGCAGCTGGAGCAGGACAGCATCATCGAGGCCCTGCTGCCGCTGAGCATGGAGGCCAAGATCAAGCAGGAGATCACAGAGGGGGAGCTCAAGGCCTTCATGACAGCGCCCAGCGGCAAGAAGGCGCCAGCCATGCGCAAGGTGCTCTACCCCTGCCGCTTCTGCAACCAGGTGTTTGCCTTCTCGGGGGTCTTGCGTGCCCATGTGCGCTCCCACCTGGGCATCTCGCCTTACCAGTGCAACATCTGCGACTACATCGCCGCCGACAAGGCCGCACTCATCCGCCACCTGCGCACACACAGTGGGGAGCGGCCCTACATTTGCAAGATCTGCCACTATCCCTTCACTGTCAAAGCCAACTGCGAGCGGCACCTGCGCAAGAAGCACCTCAAGGCAACCCGCAAGGATATCGAGAAGAACATCGAGTATGTGAGTAGCAGCGCGGCCGAGCTGGTGGACGCCTTCTGTGCCCCGGACACCGTGTGCCGGCTGTGCGGCGAGGACCTCAAGCACTACCGTGCCCTGCGCATCCACATGCGCACGCACTGCGGCCGCGGCCTGGGCGGGGGCCACAAGGGCCGCAAGCCCTTCGAGTGCAAGGAGTGCAGCGCCGCATTCGCGGCCAAGCGCAACTGCATCCACCACATCCTCAAGCAGCACCTGCACGTGCCCGAGCAGGACATCGAGAGCTACGTGCTGGCCGCCGACAGCCTGGGGCCCGCGGAGGCGCCAGCCACTGAGGCCTCGGGGCGCGGGGAGGACAGTGGCTGCGCTGCCCTTGGTGACTGCAAGCCCCTCACCGCCTTCCTGGAGCCCCAGAACGGCTTTCTTCACAGGAGCCCCACCCAGCCTCCGCCTCCCCATGTCTCGATCAAGTTGGAGCCCGCCAGTAGCTTTGCGGTGGACTTCAATGAGCCCCTGGACTTTTCTCAGAAGGGCCTGGCGCTGGTCCAAGTGAAGCAGGAAAACACCTCCTTCCAGAGCCCTTCCTCCCTGGCCCCCTACGACTGCTCCATGGAGCCCATCGACCTGTCCATCCCCAAGAACTTCAGGAAAGGGGACAAGGATTTGGCCACTCCCAGCGAAGCCAAGAAGCCTGAGCAGGAGGCGGGGAGCAGCGGGCAGCCCTCTCCCTGTCCAGCACCCGGCCCTTCTCTTCCCGTGACTTTGGGGCCCAGCGGGATCTTGGAAAGCCCCATGGCCCCTGCGCCGGCGGCCACCCCGGAGCCCCCAGCACAGCCCCTGCAGGGCCCCGTTCAGCTGGCGGTCCCAATCTACTCCTCAGCCCTGGTCAGCAGCCCTCCCCTCGTGGGCAGCTCAGCCCTCCTGAGTGGCACAGCCTTGCTGCGGCCACTGCGGCCCAAGCCCCCCCTGCTTTTGCCAAAGCCCCCCGTGACAGAAGAGCTGCCCCCGCTGGCCTCCATTGCCCAGATCATCTCATCTGTATCCTCGGCCCCCACCCTCCTGAAAACCAAGGTGGCGGATCCAGGGCCAGCAAGCGCTGGCAGTAACACCACGGCTTCAGACAGCTTAGGAGGCTGTGTCCCCAAAGCCGCCACCACTGCCACCCCTGCTGCCACCACCAGCCCAAAAGAGTCTAGTGAGCCTCCCGCTCCAGCCAGCAGCCCAGAGGCTGCCTCTCCCACCGAGCAGGGCCCAGCGGGCACCTCGAAGAAGAGGGGCCGGAAAAGGGGGGTGAGGAGCCGGCCCCGCGCCAACAGCGTTGGGGTGGACCTGGACTCCAGCGGGGAGTTTGCGAGCATCGAGAAGATGCTGGCCACCACGGACACCAACAAGTTCAGTCCGTTTCTGCAGACAGCGGAGGACAACACTCAGGATGAGGTGGCCGGAGCCCCCGCCGACCACCACGGGCCCAGTGATGAAGAGCAGGGCAGTCCCCCAGAAGACAAGCTGCTGAGGGCCAAGCGGAACTCGTACACCAACTGCCTGCAGAAGATCACCTGTCCCCACTGTCCCCGGGTTTTCCCTTGGGCCAGCTCCCTACAGAGGCACATGCTCACACACACTGGTAAGATGGCCACCGGGCTCCCAGGCGGTGAGTCCTACGTCGTGGCAGGGGGAGCCACGGGTGGGGGTCATAAGCGAGATGAATCTCCCACAGCTCCAGTTATTCCTAGCTTGCCTTCTTCCCCTGTCTGCCAAGCCCTGGGCTTGTCTGGTGGTGCTGTATTTCCTATGTGCTCTCAGTACCCACATGGCCTGTGTGCAGGGGCTGAGCCCTCCAAGGGCAGCATTCTAGTGAGTGTTCACCCAGGGCGTTTTGAGGTGAAAGTGGTCACAGACCCTCAGATCACTCATGGCGTCGCCTCATCCCTTCCGGAGGCGGTAGCCAGATTATCTACTGGGTTAAGCAGGGAGGCAGCTCCGGAGAAGTGAGACTTTGAAGGTATTGGGGCATTGACACTAGACATTCCATTCCAGTGTCCTCAGTGCAGCGTTTTAAATTTTGAAAATTTTGTGAAGTTTTTTTGGATGCCGTGTATTCTTAAATCTTACAAATTGTGATGTTGGCCGTTTTCTTTCGGTTCCCTAAGTCACATCTTCCCCTGTTGATTGTGAAAATCAGCAATGAGTGGTGGTAGAATGTTTTGAAATTTCTGTTTCTGCTACAATTGTAAGCCTTTCTGAGAAACTTCTCTCAGAAGGGCCTGGCGCTGGCCCAGGTGAAGCAGGAAAACGTCTTCCTGAGCCCTTCTTCCCTGGCCCCTACGACTGGTCCCTGGAGCCCATCGACCTGTCCATCCCCAGGAACTCACACCCAAGTGTGAAAAGGTTCTAAGTAATAGACTTAAATTGTCAAAATGATACCCCCAAAACTATTTTCCTTTTTTCTTTTCTTTTTTTTTTAAAGACAAAGTCTCACTACATTGCTCTGGCTGATCTCAAACTTCTGGGCAGTTTTCTTGCCTCTGCCTCAGAAAGTGCTGGGATTACAAGCGTGAGCCCCCACACCTGGCCCCAAAAGTATTTTTCTTTGTTTGAGACGGAGTCTCACTCTGTTACCCAGGCTGGAGTGGAGTAGTGTGATCTCAGCTCACTGCAACCTCTGCCTCCCCAGTTCAAGCAGTTCTCCCTGCCTCAGCCTCGCAAGTGGCTGGGATTACAGGCATGCGCTACTATGCCTGGCTAATTTTTGTATTTTTAGTAGAGATGGCGTTTCACCATGTTGGCCAGGCTGGTCTCGAACTCCTGATCTCAGGTGATCTGCCTACCTCAGCCTCTCAAAATGCTGGGATTACAGGCGTGAGCCACCATGCCCGGCCTGCCCAAAAGTATTTTTCAAACGTTAGTTTCCAGAAGTTGATTTTTAAAGAGAAGTTTAGGATAGGAATATACTTTAAATAATTTTGTATCAGGTGCTTCTAGTATATAAATGGCCATGCAACTCTCATCTGAATTACAATTTTCTGAATTTTCTCAGTGAACAGCCTCAGTATTCAATGATTTATGTTATTGAACTAAGGGCAAATTAGTGAGATCCTATCTTTTTGGGGTTTACAGCCAAAATACTAATAAATAGATAGGCCCTAAAACCACATGGTACTGGATTGGCGAATAAAATACAGAACACCAGTTAAATTTGAATTTCAGATACACAACAAATAATTTTTAGTATAAGTATTTTTATGCAGTTCTTGGGATTTACTAAAAAATTATTTGTTTATCCAAAATTCAAATTTAGCTCTGGGCATCCTGGTTTTTTTGTGGGTTTTTCTTTTTGTGCTAAATATGGTAACCCAAGGTAGTCAGGAGGTTTATGACAGGATGTTGAGGGTGGGTTGTGGGAATTGGTGTGAGCTGTGCTCTGTATCTTGGTGGAAATGTATTACATAGAGTTGATCATCCCACAAAGCTTTGGAGAAGCTCGTGGAAGGCTGTTTCTCCTAGATGAGGTGGAACAGCAGGAGGGAGGTCATGGAGCCACCGCTGGATACCTGAACAGTGTGCAGAATGGAGCCTGGGGAGGGAGAGGAAGCTGGGAGCCAGAGGGAGTTGTGGCTGGGAGCGATAGGTCTCTCAGAGGCCGCACTGGTCACCAGAGCTTGCCACACAGACACGGCATTTCTTTCTGCTGTGGTGGGTCCTTGAATCCAGGGATTGAGGAGTAGCAAGTCAGGAGTGTCTATCCAGGGAAGACTCAAGGAGAACCAGGATTTCTAGATTTGTAAAGTATGTACTGCCCTTTCATACCATTGTCTTCCTGTTAAAATAGTTTAAGCCTGACAAGTAAAGCAGCCATTCTAATGATGATAGCAGTTCAGGGAAGAAAATGCATCTTCAAGAGAAGGTGCCCCTTATAGCAGTCTCTTTTGCTACCCTTTTTGGGTATCACCTGTTTATCGCCTACTGAGAGTCTATGGAGAAGTGAGTCTTTCTGTTGCCACTTTTCAGAAAGCAGATGGTCTGGATCTGATGATTGGCTTGGCTCGCGCCCGTCCTCAGTGCTCTCACCTCCCCCTGCTGTCACCCAGCCTCCCCATCTTCCTCCTCCAGTATTTCCTTTTTTAAGAGTTGTGCCCATGTCTTTGCAGGTGCATGATATGTGTTCCCACTTGTGAATCCAGTCATGATTGCCTGGCCTTTGAATGCCAAAATACCAGTGTTGGTTTAAAATTTAGTAGCATCTAAAACTGAGCAAGAAAGCAGGAGGTTTGTTTAAGATAGGATGGGGTGGATATAAATACAAACATTCTGCCTCTTGTCCCTTAAAAGTTACTGATAACCTTGATAGATGTGTCTGCTTTGGCACAGTCCCTGTATCCTATCATAATATGTTCTTGGTAGAGCTAGTGTTCATGACAACCTTGGGAGGGTGATGTCATCTGTGTGTTGCCACAAGGAAATCGAGGTTTACTTAAGGAGCTAAGTAACTTGCCTACAGCCATATGGGGAATAAGAGATGGAGCTACTGTTCCAAGCCAGGGTCAGGTTCTGTGCAGCTGCCCCCTGGCCAGGGTGTGTGTGCCAAGTGTGTCCTCTGTGTGAAGGTAGAAAGCGGGCAGGGTGCACCTTCCATGCTTCCCTGTGTTCCCACGTGTCTACATGCAGAAGATTGGGAAGTAGTTTGAGATAAGGGGGGGACACCACTGTGGATCAGAATGTTATTAACTAATTTGAGACTTAATGACTACGGAATCGTGTTAGCCACCTGCATAGACACTGTATGAAGGTTGGTGCCCATTGAGCTCCATTAACTTCCTTTGCTGTGCTTCACTCTCAGCTTCCAGGGATGTTCAGCATCACCACTGCTAAATCATGTTATATGGAGCACTTGGCTACATCCAGTGTTGTGTTAGAGCATTTTCCATTCATGGAGCATTAGAGCTGGAAGGAGCCTGGGAAGTCATCTGATGGGCCCCCTCTCCCCACAGACCTGATCTTTTTCCTGGTAGGCAGCTCTGCTGTCACTCAGAGCCACATGGATCCTTGGCTTCCTAGGCTTCTGTGAGGTGCTGTCTCCAAAACTTTGAAAAAAAGTCTTAAGCGTACACATGTTAAACATTGACTCTGCAGCCACCCTGCAAATAAAGGTGTTATTCAGAGAAGATGTTTTGTGCGATATTTTTGGTTTTTTAGTTTTTTGCTTTTGTACAGACAAGGTCTCACCAAGTTACCCAGGCTGTTCTCGAACTCCTCGGCTTTGCAAAGCGCTGAGATTACAGGTGTGAGTCACCGTGCCTGGCCATTTTGTGTTTTTGAGTATACTGTTAAAATCTAGCTGAGTTCCAGCCAGAAACATTGAGCAGCATCCGGTTTTGGACTGCATTTAAACAAACTGTCTACACCTTGAATGCTGGCCTCCTCCTACCCCCTCAGCAAATTACTGTACTGTGTCTACTTTGTCTCAAAACACGTGTTCTCCAGTCCTCCCATTCCTCACAGGGGCAGCAAGAAGCAGATCTGGTGTTCAGTGTCCAACGAGGGGTATACCTGCTGGCTGCTGGCAAGGAGCATGTGGCCTCAGCCTTTTCTTGCTCCCGGCTCAGGTTCCAGGAACTGTGTCTGATGAGGAAGCTGGCAGGGCTGTCATTTTTCATACCCCTGGCACAGTCTCCACACACACCTGCCTTTCCTCCTTCCTTCCACTCCTCTCCAGCTCTCTCCCAGCCCATAGTTTCCTGCTGATGAGGACAGTTCCTGGTTCCTTACCTTTCTCCACCTAAATATGCCACTCCATAGGAGACAAGAGTGCACTGTTCCTGCCTTTGCCCCTCGGGAGCATCTCGTGTGTTTTTAGGCCACAGGTGGAGGAGAGGGTGCCAGAAAACACGGCCAGTCTGTTCTTGCCTGTCCTCGTTTTCTTCCCCCTTCCGTTTGCTCCGGTTCCTTGTCCCACAGCGATGGGCTTGGGACTATGGGATGTCCATTTTGGACTTCCCTGGCTCACTGCCTTTCTCATGGGTGCTTTGAGCACCTTTTTTGAGCCGGCTCAGGCTTTCCCCCGACACCCTTTCCTCCCTGCTTCTACCCAGCAGTGAGGGTCAGAGCTTCAGTCAGTGAGTCATCCTAACCTGGGTGTGGAAAGCACCTGGGACACCACTTGTATTTGGCTACTTTTAGCTTTCTTAAAAGACAGCTTTGGCCATTTTTACCCAGTCCTGTGTACACTTCTGCCAAATACAGAGAGAAAATACCAAAAGAAAGCATGCCTTCACGTAGGGGTGGAGGAGCAATGGAGAGAAGGCTGGGCTGCTCAGGCCCATCTTGTTACAAAAAGAAAAGCAACTGCAAGGTTTTCCATGCTAGTTAGACCCCACCTTTCTAATTCTGATTGTCTTTGAAAAATGAACAGAAATGTTTTCAGCTCTTTTTTTTTGATCTTGGAGGCCAAGGTGCCAATCTCCTCATCAAACTATTCTCACTGTTCACCCTTCTCTTGCCCCAATGCCCTTCTTCATTTCTTGACTGTTCTGGGAGAGTAAACACTGGCTAATTTTTGGGGGGTTTTTTTTTTGGAGTTTTTTGTTTTTGTTTTTGTTTTTTGAGACAGGCTCTCGCCCTGTCACCCAGCACCCCGGCTAGAGTACAGTGGCATGATCACAGCTCACTGCAGCCTTGAACTCCTGGCTGAGCGTAAGTGATCCTCCTGCCTCAGCTTCCCAAGTCGCTGGGACTACAGGTGCACACCACCATGCCTGGCTAATTTTTTTACTATTTTATTTTATTTTATTTTATTTTATTTTATTTTATTTTTTGAGACAGTCTTGTTCTGTAGCCGAGGCTGGAGTGCAGTGGTGTGATCTCAGCTCACCACAACCTCTGCCTCCCAGGATCAAGTGATTCTCCTGCCTCAGCCTCCAGAGTAGCTGGGATTACAGGCCCGCACCACTGCACCCAACTAATTTTTTGTATTTTTACTAGAGACGGGGTTTCACCACATTGGCCAGGCTGGTCTTGAACTCCCAACCTCAGGTAATCTACCAGCCTCAACCTCCCAAAGTACTAGGATTACAGGTGTGAGCCACAGGTGTGAGCCACCGCGCCCGGTCTTTTTATTTTTTTGTAGAGACAAGGTCTCACTGTGTTGCCCAAGTTGGTCTGGAACTCCTGGGCTCAAGCGATCCACCTCTCTTGGCCTCCCAAAGTGCTGGGATTATAGGCATGAGCCACTCTGCCTAGCTGGCTGATGGTTTCCGCGCTCGTGTTGGGGCTTGCAGAATGCTGTAGGTCCTGAGTGTGCAGGTACTCCCTGTGGTTACAGGTGCTTTTACAAATACCCCCCTAAAGCAGTTATTCGTGGCAGCTACCAAATAGATAAAATCATTTGCTACTTTCTATATAGATGACTGGCCAGCAAGTGTTTTTGAAACCTGTGTTACTATAAAATACTAAACGGGCCCGTTTTCCTGCATCCCTGCAATCCAGAAAGCCCACTGCTATGTAAAAATGTCAGACTTACGCAGTGAAATGTGAGCTTTTAATGACTCGTGTGAGTTGTTCTGTCACTTTGGGAGCCTTCATAGTTTGATGCAATACTTTGGCATCATGGACTGTTTTTTGAATTTAGCATTAATAGGGACCTTCTCATGGGGACGTCAGCCTGGCAGTCCTAACCAACTGTAAAGGTGATGCACTTACCAGTGTGAAAATTAGAGTAAACCATGTGATGGGGGAGCGAGAAGCCGATCGTTTTCTTTGAAATCAAGAATCCTATCATAATAGCTTCTTACTTGTTTTCCTCTTGGCCCAGTTATTTTCTCAATCTGGCCAGACTCAGAGAAGCAGCAGTGTTACCTTTTGACAATAAAATATTAAAAGTACTTTATTTTTACTTGAAATTATTAAATACTGTGTTCAATTTTAAATGAAAAACAAGAAGTAATTTTTTTCATTTTATTTTATTTTTGAGACAGAGTCTCTCTGTCGCCCAGGCTAGAGTGCAGTGGTACAATCTCTGCTCACTGCAACCTCTGCCTCCAAGGCTCAGGCGCTCCTCCCACCTCAGCCTCCCCAGTAGCTGGGATTACGGGCACGCACCACCATGCCTAGCTAATTTTTGTATTTTTAGTAGAGACTGGGTTTCACCATGTTGGCCAGGCTGGTCTTGAACTCCTGGCCTCAAGTGATCCACCCGCCTCGGCCTCCCACAGTGTTGGGATTACAGGCATGCACCACCATGCATGGCTGCAAGAAGTAATTTGGAAGATGCACCATAAACACTGAGATACTGTACAACTAGTCATACTTTTTTTTTAATGTGGATGTTTTAAAAATAAATTTTGCAGAAAACACCTACAGAATGATATGAGGAGACCTGAAAACAGTCAGTGGGTTCTCCACTTCTGTTCAGGTTGCCTGTGGAGCTCCTCAGAAGCACGCAGGCCGGGTTTCTGGGTTTCTGATTCTGCCCTTTCCAGGTTTCTAATTCTGTTGTCTCTGATTGTTGCGAGCATCTTTATCTTAAAAGCTCCTGAGGAGATTTGTAAGCATCATCTTAAAGGGTCTTTTAGCTCAGGATGGAATCAGTGTCGCCTGTCTCTGATTATTGCTGCTGATGTAAATTTGTGGCCATGCTGTCACAGGGGTGGCGCCAGGTCCACACCTTCACGCTCTGTACAAATGGCGCCCCCTGGAGTCGTGTGACACAGCCATGCCGGTCAAGGCTAGTCCCTCCTTCCCCTGGGAAAACACATGGCCCCTCTGGCTGGTCCCCAGGTGCCAGGCCCTTGCTGTGCATTCGCAGGGGAGTGTGTGGCCTTGGGCACCTGCGCTAGTTCAGGTTTCTATCAACATTAATCTAAACGAACGCCAGAGGCCCTTGTGATCTGTGTTTCCAGGGAGCTATGTTTAATTGTGGCAATCCCACGGTTATGAGACAAAAGTACTAGGCCTCAGCTCTGAAGTCAGGTTGGTTAACACATAAAACCTTTTACCCTGTAACATTAGCAACTGGGACCTTGAACGCCAGCGACTTGGGGGAAAGGGAGGAATGCAGTGATACACAAATGATGCACCACCAACTTCCATCTCTTGAAGTTTCCTGATCCCCTCCCTCCTCCTCTCTTTTCCTCTCCACCTCCCTTTTCCCTTGTGCTTTCTTTCTCCCTCACATGCATCCACACAAACCCAGGACAAGTTGTAGAGGAGCTTCGATTGCATTTTCAAACATGACATTTACGGCACAAAAGGAATCCAAGTAAAAGGAGAGGGTAGGCAGACCAAAGCAGGAGGGTACTGTGCCTCTCTCAGTGGCTCACCCATCTGTGCATTTGAGATGGGTCTAGCAGCGAGGCAGGGCCGCCAAAATGTCCTCTTCACGTGCACATCTGTTGAATGGAGCACATGATCCAATGCAGACATAGTGACATATTGGTCACTCATTTGCAACCAAGCTTGGAGCAGGGGGAAGAAAGAACCTTTAATGTAATGAGAAGATCTCCTGACTCTTGCCACCTAGGACCACGGTGAACTTGAGGAGAAGTCACTGCAGGATATCTCAGCAAGTCAGACAGGAGTTGTCCTGGGAAGTCAGAACTCACTGCTCCCATTCCCCAGTGGGAGGGGTACAGCCACCAAGGCCAGGAAGGGGGACTGGCCACCCTGGCCGGGGGCTGTCCCTGACTTCTCTTCATGGCCCCCCAAAGATACCCAGGGGGTTCCCCAATGGATTTCCTAGTGTCCATATTATGGTGTCCTTGCCACACTAGAACTCGTTAGAGGGCATCTTTCTCTTTGTGATAGAATATAGGTGTTTTCTTGCTGTGCTCTAAAATCTCTTCATTCACTTTTATTTTGTGTTGTCATTATTTAATATTTTAATTGTAATAGCATTGTTTTACTTTAAATGTATATTTTTCAGTTTCATTTATTTTAGTATTTTGAAGACAAAAATTCATATTCCATTCAACTTAGGAAAAGGGAGAATGATCGTTGTAGTCACTGATGTTCTCTTTTTTTTTTTTTTTTTTTTAAATGTGTTTTGTTAATTTTCTTGAAGGGGTGGAGGAGGGGGGAACAACTGCCAGTGATCCCAGAAGAATAAACAAAAGCGACTTTTGTTTTTCATTGCAGTAGAAAGCCAGATAAATATATATTTTTTTTCCTGCTTCAGGTCAGAAACCCTTCCCTTGTCAAAAATGCGATGCCTTCTTTTCTACCAAATCTAACTGTGAACGCCACCAGTTGCGCAAACACGGAGTTACCACCTGTTCCCTGAGAAGAAACGGGCTTATCCCCCAGTCAAAAGAGAGTGATGTTGGATCCCATGATAGCACAGGTAGTGCCGCCAGGTGAACAAGAACCCAGAGAGAGGGAGACAGAGGAGTTCGGTTAAGAGTTGTATCTAACTCCGGTCCGAGCTGTGGAGGGGCTGCTTGTTCACTTCTCTGTAGGATTCAGAGCCTATTAGTAGAAAGGCGGGCCCTACTGATGATTGGGAGGGAGCATAACTCCTGGGTCAGATCGCCTAGACATACAGCAGGAAACAGTGACAGTGCCCCTCGGTGACTCTCGGGGCTGCTAGGGAAGATCTGTCACCCTCTTGGCAGAAGAGGCCTTTGTTCCCAATGTTGGGAGGTGGGATGTATGGGAAGACCTACAACTTTAGCCCTGGGTATGAACTCATCTAAAGGGGATGTGAAACCTTAAAGGTTTGGGGAGCCCTGGCCTCTGCAGCCTCCTCGGGAGCAGGCGTGGGCTCCCTGGGATGTCAGGGTATTGAAGGAACGAGGGGTGCGGTGTTCTTCTTTTCAATAACTCTCTTCCCGGTGTAAGACTGTCCTTGTTTGAAAAAGCACTGTGCATGTCCTTTCTTTAATCACATCTCTGCTTGACCTGAATCCGAGTATTATTCTCCTGTGCTGATGTGTGCTTCCTCCCTCCAGCACCCACAGAGCAATTAACGGCTGCCCGATACGTCTTCTGCCACCTTTTTTCCCTTATAGTTTCTGAATTTACTCATGTCCTCTATCGGTACGCTCCATCCGCTCGGACTGCTGGGGTTCTCCATCCTCACCCCCAAGAGCAAACAAAACAAAAGCCAGCCTGCTGCAGGCCACTTAGACACCCCGCCAGTTGGCACTGGTTAGCAACAGGGACAGCATCATGGTGCTGGGTCCAGTTCTGCAAGTCTTGAAAACCTGACACTATCTCGTGGCTGCGAAGAGATCCCCCCAGCTATGTTTTTCTAGGGTTGTAATTGCGTCCTGTGGCTTCTGTTCCTTAGATAGGGTGGAGATGGGGTGCTCTAGAGTTAGGAGGCACCCCTGCCTCAGGAGTCAGTGTGGACAGAGGGTTGGGCATTAGCCCCCTTGTCCTTACCTTGGTTATAGCGATGTGGGGGCGCATCTGGAGAGGCCACCCTTTGCCCCTCTCTACGCCTCCCACTGAGCCCCGTGAAACCAACTGTGAGTGCTCTTGACTGCCCAACCGCCAGTCCAGATCAGATCCTCTGAGGGTATGAAAGTGTAAGCTGGTTTGCTCACTGCTTCCCCAGCTTCCACTTCCGCATAACTCACCAGTATCTTTGAGTGAAGAAAGATGTGGGTGCCCACGGAATCTCCCCCTAACTTGGACCCCTGTGAGCCAAGGATGACCTGCAGTTCAGCCCACGGGAAGTACACACCAGTGCTGGCAGGCACGCACTTGCTGCAGACCATTCTGTTAATGTTTAACCATCGGCCGCCACGTTACCTGTTGGTCTGGAACATTTTCTTTCAGCCTGGTTTTGAAAGCTACCCTGTGATCTTCCCATAGTGGTTCCACAGTAGCGAAAGCAGCCAGTAACTGAGGGAGCTGAGGGGGAGCCCTTGGGTTTCCATGTTTACAAATAAGTCTTAGTAACTCTGTGCTGGATATGCATTTTGCATTCAGCTTCTTTATCATAAGGGAGGAACAGGGGCTGGGGCTCCTGCTGACGTCTGCAGACACAAAGCTGAGTCGGAATTTATGGTCTTAGCTTCGGTTCAGCACCAAGTGTATTTATAAGTTTGTACTCATCAGTTTTGTTTTCCAAATCCCAGCAAAGCCCTTTCCCACCTCCACCCCACCCCGGAAGTTATATAGGTTTTCTTGAAGGGATAAAACCTCTAGAAAAGGAAAAGTTACTGAAAGTTGTAATGTGAAACTAGCAAAGAGAAAATTTATGTTTGGTTTAGTTGTGGTCCCAGTCCATGGTGAGAAAAGGGACTGAGATTTAAGTGGGAGAGAAAGGAGGTTAGGGAGGCAGAGTTTAGTGATTTCAAGGGGGATTTTAAAAACCAGATGAGCATGATGGGCATGGGGTGAAGCCTTCATTCTGGGCTCCCCCCAGTGAAGTTAAAAAAGTGAGGCTTTGAAGGAAGACCACTTAAAAAAGGGGAGGCTGGGGGAGGAAATGACCAAGGAGGTCCTTGAGGGGTTTTCTAGGCTTATATGCTTAGGTGGCATTTTCTTAAAATTCCTACACATGTTTTATAATGCAGGTCTGACTTTTTTCAACATAAAGTCCCCCAAAAGAATGCTTAAAATGCCACAGTGGGGGCAGTTCTCCCTTCAAAGGTCCATTTTGAATATTCAGATTTCAACTGAAATTCTTCATTCACTGTCCTCGACAGAGAGGTGCCCTGGCCCCCTCTGCCCTTGAAGGTCATGCCCTTGGTCCTTCCTCCGATGATGCCGCGTCTTCGTGTTTGTAGGCACCTACATAGGGCTGTTTTTAATTCATATAAACATGAAAGTGTTTAAACTCTCCCTTAATGGTGACCACCTTTACCAGCCCAGAAGTCCCACATGTCAGCATAGACTGCACCCCAGGAAACCCTCTCAGTCCTCCGATGCTTTGGGTAGAGTGCAGACAGTGGCTTCCCTGCAGACGCACCCCTGCCAGGTCAGATGATGACTTCGGTTGGTAGTCTGTCGCATCGGTTGAGGCGCATTTAATTTTTAGGAAGCAATAGATCATTAATTGTTGAGCTGACTAGGGCCGTCTCCACTGTCCTGTAGGAGGAGCTGTGGGTTTATTATCTATCAGGATTCCTTCTGCTTCCTCTGGCAGTTTTCTTAGTTGTTGAACACAAACCGAGGGACTGATGGGGAGAGGGAAGAACTGCATATTTTTAAGGTAGCATTGCTTATATAAAAAGTCATCAGCTCAGCTACCTCATTTGGGAGTCTGGATGGTTGAGGGCGGGGATTTACACAGCACCTGGCCTTGTAAGTTGACTGTTCATGATAGGTTTAGAGGCGAAGTGTTTGTTCATGAGAATCACTAATGAAAATCAGTTGTTGCTTAGAATGTGAAGGGCACAGCCTGCACTGCTAAAACACTCCCCCTAGTGGGAGTTTGGTAGAATACAACCAAGCCCCCTGTGTCCCAAGAGGGCGTTGGCCTTTCATTGTACTCTGGGTGATCTGTCTCCATTATCCACACAAAGGAAGGTCCCAACAGCAGAAACAATTTGATCTTAGTATATTTATTTGGGTTTCATTTCAAAATTTATTTTATTTTTTTCAAGCTTTATCATGTTAAATATGTTCTGTGCACTTAAAATAATGCATGTTCTTTGCTGAAAAAAAAAATAATAGAAGTAGCCTAGGATATACTGGGGACAAAGGGGAAGTAACCAGAGATTAAATCTTTTAAAAATAACCGGTTGGGCGTGGTGGCTCATGCCTGTAATCCTAGCCCTTTTAGAGGGTGTGGAGGGTGGATCACCTGAGGTCAGGAGTTCCGAGACCAACCTGGCCAACATGGTGAAACCCTGTCTCCACTAAAAATACAAAAATTAGCCGGGCATGGTGGCTCACACCTGTAATCCCAGCTTCTTGGGAGGCTGAGGCAGGAGAATCACTTGAACCCAGGAAGCAGAGGTTACAGTGAGCTGAGATTGCACCACTGCACTCCAGCCCAGGTGACAGAGCAAGACTCTATCTAAAAAAAAAAAAAAAAAACCCTACAAAGGCCAGCCACAGTTGCTTATGCCTGTAACCTTAGTACTTTGGCAGGCCAAGGCAGGAGGACCCCTTAAGCCAGGAGTTCGAGACCAGCCTGGGCAACATAGGGAGACCCTGACTCTAGGGAGGGAAATTACCCACAAAGCCAGCAAACAAATTGAGCAGTTTGTATTTTTATTGTAGAGTTTATACCAATATCCATTCTATAGCTGCTCTCTGTTGAAATGATTCAAGAAAACGAATATCTTGTTTTTCCTTGGAATGTGGCCCAGACATTGGTGTGCATATCTCAGGATTCATATTCTTTAAGCTTTTGGATAATTTTGCAAAATCATTTCTTCTTTAAAATTTTATATTCACACCATAATATTTCCTTCTGAAACCTCTTGAGATACTCAGACAGTGGCTGCCAAAAAGTGCAGTCAGTGTAAAACTAATGAAATGAAATGATGGAAGTGGACGCGTTATGCAGATGGCTGTGGGTAAGCCTAAAGCCCCAAGCAGGTGTGAGCAGTAGGTACTGTCTCTTCAGACCTCGGGATGGGGCAGGACCAGCTCCTTACCCCAGCCCTCCTGACCGCCTTGATGGCCAAATAATGGAGCATGTGATGTTGAGGAGAAGTGATAGATGCAGGTTGACACTGTAGTTACGCCTGATCACACCAAGTGAGAATCCAGGTTAGGTGCGTGAATCTGCTGGCTCAAGGACTGCACTCACATCTGGCCTGTTGAGGGAGGCGCATCTCATACTTGTGCCATAAAACAATGACTTTCATCCACCTAATTCTCAGAGGAACTTCTGAATCCCTACAGTAATAAATCAGACAGTGGCCAGGCATGGTGGCTCATGCCTGTAATCCCAGCACTTTGGGAGGCCAAGGTCGGCAGATCACCTGAGGTCAGGAGTTCGAGACCAACCTGGCCAACGTGATGAAACCCCGTCTCCACTAAAAATACAAAAATTAGCCGGGCGTGGTGGTGGGTGCCTGTAATCCCAGCTACTCGAGAGGCTGAGGCAGGAGAATTGCTTGAACCCGGGAGGCAGAGGTTGCAGTGAGCCAAGATCACACCATTGCACTCTAGCCTGGGCGACAAGGAGAAACTCCATCTTGAATAATAAAAAATCAGACATAGGATCTGCAGCTAAATAATAGGTTCCACCAGCTTCCAATGCACTGTTGTAGTGCATAATTTTAAGAAGTTATTAAGTCCTCTTTCAGCCTTAGGAAAGAGAAGGCCTTTTGACACAGTTTGATGCTGTGAATGTTGCAACCGTGCCATCCCTTAAAAGGACTGTTGAAAACTGGTAGGCTTTCCACATACAGTTTTACTGGGTGGAATGGACAGATAGGAACAAATCAAAAGGCAGGAAGTCAGGGTAGGTGAGATGCCCGGAACCCAGAACCCCTTGTCTTCACAGGCACCCACAGCCCTTCACAGTCCGCTCCCCTCACTGTCTGCTGTTGCCAAGCCTGGCATCAAGGGTGCCCTTCCTTTGAAAGATTTCCGCCACCCCTGGGAGGCTGACAGCTAGGAAGCCTACAAGCTTGCCTGCACCCCCTTGGGTCTCTGCAGCCTCCACCTGGAGATGAGCGTCAGGCAAGAGTGCATACCATACACACAGAATGCAGGCTTGGGGTCGTTTCCTGTGAAACTCATCAAGACCATGCTTTGGGGGATTAGGGGTGGGGGTGGTCCTGTGTATGTTGCATGTTTGTATGATCTCTTTGCACTGGAAAAATAACTTATAACTCAAGCTTCCTCAACCTCCCTGGCGCTGCGAGTCTCTGGAATGCACCCCTCTCCTATCTCGCAGCCCCTGTCTGCCCTGCCTGAGTCACTCACACCTTCCTGGGGGCGGGAGCAGTGGAAGCCGGGGGTTCGGGGGCACAGCCAGCTCTGGGAACACACCTCAGGTGATGTGGAGGCTGCTTTTGCCTTTCTTACCTCCCCGGGGTCATCTTGGTCCTCCTGGGGGAATGTAACAGGTGGTGAGGATTTGGGCCGAAAGAAGTCCTCACTGGTTTGGGGTTCAGGCTGCTGGCGTGGGTCTAGCCCATTCCCGGCGACGTCCCTGGCATGAGCGTACCTGGTGGTGCCCCTCTGAGCCCTCCCCGCTGTGCTTGCCCCACAGACAGCCAGTCGGATGCGGAGACTGCAGCCACCGCGGGCGAAGTGCTAGACCTCACCTCACGGGACAGAGAGCAGCCGTCGGAGGGCGCCACTGAGCTCCGCCAGGTCACAGGGGATGCCCCTGCGGAGCCGGCCAAGGCGGAAACGGCCTCGCCTGTGCACGGAGAAGAGCACGGGCCTGGGGAGAGCCATGAGCCGGAGGAGGAGCGTGGCGCTGAGGAGAGTGCCGGTGACGCCGACGGCGCTGAAGAGGACGCGTCGAGCAACCAGAGCCTGGACCTGGACTTCGCCACCAAGCTCATGGACTTCAAGCTGGCCGAGGGCGAGGGCGAGGCAGGCGCCGGGGGCGCGGCCTCGCAGGAGCAGAAGCTCGCCTGCGACACCTGTGGGAAGAGCTTCAAGTTCCTGGGCACCCTGAGCCGCCACCGGAAGGCGCACGGCCGCCAGGAGCCCAAGGACGAGAAGGGAGATGGCGCCAGCACTGCGGAGGAGGGGACCCCGCCCGCCCCTGAGCAGGAGGAGAAGCCCCCCGAGACCCCGGTGGAGGTGGTGGAGTCGGCCCCGGGCGCCGGGGAGGCCCCGGCGGAAAAGCCTGCAGAGGAGACTGAGGGCCCCTCCGACGGGGAGAGCGCGGCCGAGAAGAGGTCCTCGGAGAAGAGCGACGATGACAAGAAACCAAAGACAGACTCCCCCAAAAGCGTGGTCAGCAAGGCAGACAAGAGGAAGAAGGTCTGCAGCGTGTGCAACAAGCGGTTCTGGTCGCTGCAGGACCTGACCCGGCACATGCGCTCCCACACAGGTAACCAGGGCAGGCCAGGTCCCCAGCCCAACAAGAGGCGGCGAGTTGGGCACCTCTGTCCTAGGAGCTGCCTTGAAGCGGCGCTGGAGGCCGCCGAGAGAACGTTTGCTTACGTTGCGGGTGTGCTCTTTAAGCCCGTGAACTAGGAGTTTTAAGGAGTTGTCCTCTTAGCCCTTGAAGACCGTGCAGGCCTGCAGCCAGGCAGGAGGGGGTCCTTGGCCATTGTGTTTTTGAGAACGCTGTGATCCGCCTCTTAGCGCTGCTGAGCCTCCGTCTTCCCATCTGTAGAGCTGGGGTGACAGCTGCCCTGTTTCAAAGAGGTATCTAGGAGAGGGTGCTTGTGCTGGCCATTTGGGGTCACTTGGTCCTGTCTAGTCCTGTGGCCCGGACGACAGGCGCTGCCCCAGGCCACTGTGAGGCGGCAGGCACCCTGGGTGATCCGTTAGGGCCAGGAGGGTCTTTTCCTTTCTTAGCCGTGCAGCCGGCTGAGGTGACTGGGACAGGACTCTTAGCCACTGCCCTGCACACTGCTCCTGGAGTTCACCCACCACCCACAGGGTGGAGGCTGCAGACCCCAGAGCAGGGGCGCTTGCTTTGAGACAAAAACCTGGATATGCTCATGGAGTCCAGAGATACATCCTCCTTCCTTCCAAAATAACCTGTCCCTCCTCTCAGCCGCAGCTTCCCTCCCTGTCACAGCTGCAGCCCGCAGTGAACACGTGTGCCCCAACCCAGCGCAGTCCGCTGTTCGCTGCGCTTGCCGGTGTGAAGGACCAGGGGCCTTGGCTCTCAGAAGAGGGATATTCTTGGGCTCCCAGAAAGCGTGGTGGGCCCTGCCCCGGGCCTGGCGTGTGAGCATCAGGAAAGCCCCCGCTGCGCCACATCGCAATGCAGAGGGTACCTGGTGCCTCCGACTTAGGTGCTGCTGTCCATGCAGATCCCTGAGAGGGTCCACTCCCGTCCCCCTCTAGATTCCCTCCTAGGCTCTGGCCGAGGCCAGTCTGCATGTCTCCTGAGGCTTCTGCTTCTGGGACTTGGGTTTTCTGGATCAGTATGTAGAGTGCCTGGACTGAGAGAGGAAGGAGAGGGAACGTCTCAAACTGATAGCTTGAACCAGCAAACAGAGCTTGTCCGTCCTGTTTGCTGGTTCGAGGAAGAGGCCTCTGGCTGAGTAGGAAGGAGTCCTGGTCCCTCACACATAGCCTGGGAGCCTCGTTCTTCCTGTGCAGAGCAGGGTGCGGTGGGTACTGGTGCCTTTTGGTTAATGGAAGTTCGTTCTTTCTTCCGTTGTTCCAGGGGAAAGGCCATACAAATGTCAGACCTGCGAGCGAACCTTCACCTTGAAGCACAGCCTGGTTCGCCACCAGCGGATCCACCAGAAAGCCAGGCATGCCAAACACCATGGGAAGGACAGCGACAGGGATGAGCGGGGTGAGGAAGACAGCGAGAACGAGTCCACCCACAGTGGCAACAACCCCGTCTCAGAGAACGAGGCGGAGCTGGCTCCCAGCACCAGCAGCCACATGGCCGTCACCCGGAGCCGGAAGGAGGGCTTGGCCAGTGCCACAAAGGACTGCAGCCACAGGGAGGAGAAGGTCACGGCAGGGCGGCCGTCTGAGCCTGGCCAGGGTGACCTTAACCCAGAGAGCCCAGTGGCCCTGGGGCAGGACCTGCTGGAACCTCACAGCAAGAGGCCCACCCACCCAACCCTGGCCACAGCTGACAGCGCCTCGCAGCTCCCGGGGATGGAGTGACAGCCTCAGTCCCCCTCAGCACAGACAGAAGCCAGCAGAGCAAAGCGTCATGGGGTTTCCTCAGTGCCCTTCGGCTGTTGGGGAGTGAGAGAGAGAGAGAGAGAGAGAGAGAGAGAGAGAGTGAGTGCGAGAGACAAGCAGGAGCGTGGCTGCTCGCTCAGTGCCATAGCCTTACCGCAGCCTGCGCGGGAGGCCACAGCCCGTGCCGATTCCAGTGCCTTAACTACTTACCGGATCCCTCCATATTATCGTGGGTGTTGTATTTTTCCAAAATGACTTCTTAAACAAAACAAATATTATAATGAATTGTCTGGAGAGGACCTCTTCATTTGAGCATTAGCGTTGTTTTTTATTGGTGTGTGTGAGCTTGTTTTTGTGAATCTGTGATAGCACCGTTTGTTCTGTGAGCTGGAAACAGAAGGAAAAAACATACCCTTGGGTACCCATAGCCAATAACTGGAAGAAAATGATGTGAATTTCGTGTAAATGACCAGAGGAAAGATGAATAAGATGATAATTTCTTAAATAGACATTTTCCTTTTTTCTGTGTGCTTCATGGTGGAGCTGTCATCTGGTCCTCGGTATTACAGGATGTGGGTGATGAAGGTTTCCAATATGGTTTCAGGCCAAAACCAGGAAAGATTCTAGCTTCAGCCTCATGTCCGTTTCCACTCTGTCAGCATTAGACATGGTCACCGTTCAAGTTTCAAGACATCCATTCTTAACTATAGAGAAGAGTTACTCCCCTGGCGTCTAAACCTATGGAAAACATGCACGGATAGCATATATTTGATTGCCTCCTCTTCCCTTTCAGTATCTATATTATTAATATTATTATTATTATTATTATTGTTAGTTCATCAGTTTGCTGTTCTCTGCAGTGAGCAGAATCAAATGGGCAATATTTGTCCTGGGAGACCTGTGCCGCACCCGGGTCCCCGTGTAAACGTGTGCCTGCGGCTGTGGTTGGCACCCTCGGGTGGTAGCTCTTCTACTGTAATGAGACAAGCCTTTCTTCTGTCACTGCAGAATTTAGCAGGGCCGTGAGCAGTCTTCCCAGGCGTGGCCCAGGAGCAGCTCAGAGAGGGTGGAGTGAGGGTGCGTGCATCCAGGAAACAGGCGTCAAGAAGCCAGGGCCGTGCCTGGAGCACTGCAGAGATGACTGTGGAGAAAGCAAAGCAGTGACCCAGTGACCAGGCACGTTACTCGTGAGCGAGGTATTCCCAGTCTTCCTGCTAAGCCTAATCCACGCCTTACCCAGCTGTGCTACTGTCATTTGCAAAGCGAGGAAATACTACTACTGGTAATAAAACTACACATGCAAGATGTCAGATGAGAAATAGGTTTATATTTACCTTCCTGTGATGTGGAGTTGGTGCTTGAAGATAAATGTGCTGTTTCTAGTTTCTTAAATAGCCCAAACCCCTGGGTGCAAAAAGGCAGGATTCTTTTTACCCATAAGCATCTTTGGCAGGCAATAGACTTCCCTCACTGTCCCCGCCTGCAGGGAGGAGAATGTACCCCACTGCACCTGAGCTCCTGGTCCCTCAGCCAAGACCTCAGGGGCCCCCAGCCAGCCTGCTGCTGGGGACCCCTGTGCTTGCTGCAGTGTGTGGAGCCTCTTGCCTTCCCCTGGGAAGGCACCCCTGTACCCTAGCTGCTTTCCCCTGCCTTTTTCTGGCCCCAGTACCCCTCCTTTACATAGACTTGTTCGCACAGAAACATGCACACCCCCTTTTCTCCACCGCTTCACCAGTTTCTGAAATCCAACCTCCCAGACTTCAAAGGAAGATAGATATTCTTCACATAATGAAAAGTGATATCTTCGCATATGAAAGGAAAAAAGGTTGAGGTATATATGATTTTTAACTGTATTAGGGATGTATGAACCAGTTTAAAAATGAGGTTTTATTTACTGTAGAGATGAATGCAAATCAGAACCAATGATTCCTTGGTCTACTTAGTTAAAACCAGTTCATACATCCCTTAGGTTTCTTTTTTTATTATTACAGTTGTTATTGTTATTTTTGTTGTTATTATTTGGGGTTTCTTGTGTTTTTTCTCTGCGACTCTCCACACTAAACTCGCAATATTGTGGGGAGAAGCTGTGAGTAAACTCTACGCTGCGGTGAGATGTAGCAGTAATCAGCTCCCAGCGACGTGAGTAGCCGGGGCTGCCGCTCGCAATAATCACTATTGATTTAAAGCTTTACTTAGCCTTGATCTGTACCCTCGTAGTCAATAAGGTCTTGCCACATTTTATTAGTGAGGTGGAGAAACGTATTATTTGTTTGTTGTTTTTGCCCTTCCCCCACCCCCCAATATTAAACTGTGAAATTTGTGATTTGTTTAAACTCTGGGTGAATCATAGCTTAGTTTGCATGTCCAGCTAATTTGTTTCTATACATTTTGTTTGATTCTCTTTCTCCTTCTCTCAGGGCTTTTACAAAAAAATATATATATGGATCTTCTGAAAAGTTTTTTGAGGTGCAAGTTTTTTCTTTTTTTTTTTTTTTTCCTCATTGATTAATGGACATGATGCTGAGATTCAATCACTACATGAAACACCTGGCTGTGAAAACAGAACAACCCAGAGGGCTGTTTTCCAAGCAGCGCTGGGGAAGCTACAGAACAGCCGGATGCCAGTTTCGGGAGGATTCACCGTACCTTCTGACCCTCTGTTCGTCTCTTTCCTCTCCTCTTTCTTCAAGAAGGAAATTGATCCTAGTGATTTCAGCCCATGCATTAAACAGGAAACAATAATAAATTTGTAGAATGCATATTTTTCTAAAGGGAACTTAAAAACTGCTGCTACATGTTATGTACAAAACTGGTTTATGCCACATGAACAGAATCACAAGTTTGGTTTTGGTACTTTTTGTTCCTCTTTGTATTCAGTTGTATAGAACTTCCAAATTCAGAATGAGAAGAAAGCTGTTCTGTATCAAACCATCTAAGCAATAAATGTTATATTTTAAAAGCGGCAGATTGCCGGTCACGTGGCCGTCCTGTGATTTGTTGTGATCCCATCCCCAAACCCACAGCCCACTTGGGGCAGCCCCCAGGTGTGCGGTACCGTTGGAGGGAATCACAGGTGCCCAGGAAAGCTCTTGTCATCCAGGCAGCATTTTTCTTCGCTCTGGAGGCTGGGGCAGTGACTCTGGCCTATAATCCCAGCACTTTGGGAAGCCAAGGTGGAAGAATCACTTGAAACCGGAAGTTCAAGACCAGCCTGGGCAAAATAGTGAGACCCATATCTCTACAAAAAAATAAGTTTAAGAACTATCTGGGCATGGTGGTACACGCCTGTAGTCCCAGCTATTTGGGTGTTTGAGGTAGGAGGATGGCTTGAGCCCAGGAGTTTGAGGTTGCAGTGAGCTATGATCGTGCCTCTGCACTCCAGCCTGGGGGACACAGCAAGACCCTGCTGTATAGAAAAGCACTTGGCCGCACTTGTGAGAGCTACTTTGAGAGCATGTGGAAAGTTAAGTGGGTGGCCACTGTCAGAGCTTCAGAGTGGAGACCTTGGTGTTGGGTGCACAGGGCCAGGAGACTGGACCCAATGGGGCACCACGGTGCAGGCCACTGTCATTGGCTAAAGCCAGCATTTTTGTCTCCTGTGCAATAATGCCTAAGAAGTCTGCCCCACCTCTTCTTCCCCCAACCCAGTTGTAAGTGATTTAGTCAGCACCTAGTGGAGGGAGAACAAAATCGGTTAGTGTGACCAGATTTTGGTGAGACGGGAGGGGACAGCAACCCTAGGGCTGGGGACGGTGCAGGTTAAAACTCACATTTGGGTAAAATAGCAATCAGCAGAGCTTCAACTCCTGTAACTAGGGAGTGGCTCTCAAAAAGCAACACTGGGGGCCGGGCGCGGTGGCTCACACCTGTAATCCCAGCATTCGCGGGCGAGCAGCAGAATCATGAGGTTCGGAAAATCGAACATCCTGGCTATAACCTGTGAAAACCCGTGTCTCTACTAAAAATTACAAAAATTTAGCCGGGAGTTGTGGGGTGTTGGGCGCCTTAGTCCCCCGCTACTTGGGAGGGCTGAGGCAGGAGAACGGGTGGTGGAACCCGGAAGCGAGCTCGGTACTGAGCCGAGATCACCCCTTGCACTCCAGCCTGGGCGACAGAGCAAGACTCCGACTCAAGAAAAAAAAAAAAACAACACTGGGCCAGGAGTGGTGGTTCACACCTGTAATGCCAGCACTTTAGGAGGCCAAGGTGGGAGTATCACTTGAGGTCAGGAGTTTGAGACCAGCCTGGTCAACATGGTGAAACTCCATCTCTACTAAAACTACAAAAAAGTTTAGGTGTGGTGTGTGCCTGTAATCCCAGCTACTCAGGAGGCTGAGGCACGAGACTCCCTTGAACCTGGGAGGCAGAGGTTGAGTGAGCTAAGGTGGCCCCCATTGCACTCCAGCCTGGGCAACACAGTGAGACTGTCTCAAAAAAAAAAAAAAAAAAAGCAACACTGAAAGAAGTTGGTTTTGGAGGCGGCTGATGGTGGATAATGCTAAAATGCATTGAGTGTACTTGTACCATACACTACTAAGTGCCACCTCACTGCAGGACCAGAGCTGTGGCTGTGGTCCTTAAGCTTTTTCAGGCCCCTCTGCTGAAAGGCGGAGAATTTAACACACATTTATATGTGGGAGCTTGGGGGATCCGCATGCCTGCGTGGGCGGTGGCTGGTGGAGTAGGCGGAGTACTAGCCCTGGGGTAAGCGGATCTCAAACCTCAGATCCTCCAGCCCAAAGACATAGCCAACCGCCTGCCCTGTGTTAGGGATGCAGGGCAAAGAAGTGGCCATGAGCGTGCCGCTGGGGACAGGCTGGCTGGCATGAAAATCCCAGCTCTGCCTCTTGGGGCTGGTGAATGGCCTTGTGCCTCAATTTCTTCATTCCTAAGAAGGGGATAGCAATAGTACCTGCCTCATGGGCATTGTTGTGTGGATGCCATGAGTTAATTATATAAGGTGCATGTTAGGGGCTCTCATTATTGTTTCTACAGAGTCTTCTCATAGGAATGCTTCGTTGGCTCCCTGGTGAAGTAGTGGGTAGAACTTCACCACACGCATTCATGGCACACTGCGGGGAACGGCCAGTGGAGGGCCTCGTGGGAGATCACCAAGACGCACTATCCTCAAACTCTGCGGAGTCTTGCCGCCTTCTCCTACCTGGCCTCCTCTGGCCCTGTAATCCCACTACCTTCCCGCTCAGCCTGTGGCCTCCCCACGGCCCCAGGACTCTGCCTGGGTCTTGGTGCTTATCCAGCATCCCCACCCTGCACCAAAGCCTATTCCACTGGAGGAGGGCATGGGGCATGGGGATGGGGGAGCTGGTGGCATAGACCTAGCACCCAGGATGAGGCCTAGTCCCTTGCTACCTTACTGCTCAGATTGTCATCTGAAGACCCAAAGCATCAGCATCCCTAGGAGCTTGTTAGAAATGGCAACCTCAGCTTGACCTGGCGCAGTGGTGCCCGCCTGTGGTCCCAGCACTTTGGGAGGTTGAGGCAAGAGAATCGCTTGAGGCCAGGAGCTCAAGGCTGCAGTGAGCTATGCTCACACTCAAGCCTGATTGACAGAGCAAGATCGCATCTTCACAAAAATAAAAACACAAACCAAAAAATAACAGAAATGAGAACCTCTGGCCCACCCAGACCTGCTGAGTCAGAATCTGCATGTGAACAAGGGCCACAGTGGATATGTGCACACATTAAGGTTTGAGAAGCTCCGGTCTAGACCCCAACTTGGTTCAGAATAAGGTGGATGGTGGACCCAGCAGCTGGCTGCAGAGACGACTGTGGATTCTTCCTCCCAACCAAAGACAGAATCCATCTCAGAAGGAGTGGGCAGAGCCCAGATATGGCTTTAGAGAGTGCCGATCTTGGCCCCCCAGAACTTCCTTCTATGGATCCTACTCCAGCCCCAGCACAGACTCAGCCACTCCCTAAACCCGAGTGCCCCGAGAGTCTTGTTTGGGGTTTCTGCCTGTTTGCCATCCTTGTGGATTCCAAAGTCTACTTTGAAAGGGCCCAGGAGCAAGCAGGGCCTCCAACCACTGGCCAACAGCGCCAGCTACCTGCTTGCCTGTCCTGGTGTCAAGCCTTGGGCCTGGAATATTCAGGCCTCTCCCCTTCATAACCACCTCTCTGAGGAGGCCAGGAGTGAGGGAGGATGACTAGGCTTATTTTAAGCTTGTAATTGAAGGTTGCTCTTTAGCAACAAAAGAGTCCCCTCCAATTCTAGGCTGCCAGAGTCAGTGTCCTAAATAAGAAACAAGCGGTCACTCCTTTCCCGTTTTACTGTTAGGGGAAGGAAGTCACAGCCCAGTAGGAAAGTGACATCCCTGGCCCTTGCCGTTCACTGCTTCAAGTCTCACCTGGCTGTCAGGGCAGGAATTCATGTCCCCACGGTGGCATCTGCTTCCCAGGCTGTGAGGCCAGCAAGGGGCTCGCTCAGCTGCTCCCCAGCCCTGCCTTCCTCCATGGATCTGACATGACTCTTTTATGGGAATTTACATAAAAGTAACGCCTTGCTCAGTGTGGAAAATTTAGGAGCTGCAGGAAAATATAAAGAAAATAAAGGAAGTCATCTCGCTTCTCAAACGCCGTTTTAACTTGGTGAGTGTTGCTCTTTTCATTGGGCCTCACTTTTCCCTTCCTCATTCTAAGATGTGTTTGTACAGGACTTTGCACACTGCAGTGTTTTCCTGTGGTTTTTGTTTCTTGTCTTCACCCAAGTCCAGTCAGCTGTGAAGGAAAAAAATCCTTATTCCTTCAGAGCAGGGATGAGCATTGAAATGATTTGCCCAGGTCAGCTGGCTATTGAGTACTTTTGTAGGGATGAAATTCTCCACCAGCAAAATCCTAAAACACAAGTCCCCAAGAATGGGTGGTGTGTGTTGTCCACTGAAAAGGGAGTTACTGAAAACTAGGAATGCGTGGCCTCTAGAAAACATGGCACTGATGCAATTTGGCACATAGATATTTGGCATACATATTCCCAGGGTCACTGAGTAAATTCTCAACTGTTCCAGTTCTCTTTTTCTGTATGACAACACCAAAACTTTGGGTCAGGATTCAGTGGGTTGGGCAGGGTTCTGCAGGGATGGCTCATCTGTCCTCCATGAGGCATCAGCTGGGGCAGAGCCTCCAAGACCAACCATTTTTTCTCACTCATATCAGGTGCCTCTGTGTGTACAACCCACCCACTCACCTACCCACTAAAAGAAAATTATCTGGGTTGCTTGTTAAAAATTGCATTTCAGGCCAGGTGTAGTGGCTCAACCTATAATCCCAGCACTTTGGGAGGCCAAGGTGGGCAGATCACCTGAGGTCAGGAGTTCAAGACCAGCCTGGCCAACATGGTGAAACCCCATCTCTACTAAAAATACAAATATTAGGCAGGCAAGGTGGCAGGTGTCTGTAATCCTAGCTACTCGGGAGGCTGAGGCAGGAGAACTGCTTGAACTCGGGAGGTGGAGGTTACCATGAGCCAAGATCACGCCTCTGCATTCCAGCCTGGGTGACAAGAGTGACACTCTGTCTTAAAAAAAAGAAAAAAGAAAAAAATTGCATTTCAGATCTACTGATTCAGGATCTCGGGAGGGAGGACCCAGCCATGTACATTTTTAGCAAATTCCTGGAGAATTTGCTAAAGCCCATAAAAGTTTGCAAACCAGGGCTCTGTTAAAGATTGTTCCAGATTCCTGCCCCTCAGATGTACCTCTAGTTGCCCCTCAGGCTAACACCAAGGCAAATTGTTTGCAATGGAGCTGTTGTTTGGTCTGGGGTAACTCTCTGATATCTAGGATATGTACCAGAACCTTCCTTCAAGTCTTGTCTGGCCTCTTTCCCTGCTTTTGCAGCCACTCCTCTACCTATATTGGCACAGGTGCTCCCACCCAACTTTGGGATCACCTACCCCCAAAAGGGAACTTCTAAGAACCTGTGGCTGGGCTCAACCTTGGCACTGAG